AAAAAAAAAAAAAAAAAAAAATGGCAGCACAGCTTTGGGTATCTTGTCTTAATGCAGGACAGAAGGAAGAGAAAAAATGGCCTTTATGAAAGTCGCACAAAACATTTCAGCTTACATTTCATTGACTGCAAAGGAAGCCAGAAAACATAATTCCAAATAGTAAGGCGCTCAGACAAAAACTGGATTGTTTCTTTTCTTTTCTTTTTTTTTGTACCAGGGATCAAACTTGGGACCTTGTGCTTGTGAAGCAGATGGTTGAACCAGTAAACTATATCCCCAGCCCTTGGATTCTGTTTCTAAGGACAAAGAGAAGAATCCCTGTTGAAGTAGGTAATTAGTACTTTCTTCTGAAGGATTTCATTCATTCAACAAGTATTTGAGACTTTTTTTGGATACTAGCCCTAATATCAAGGGGAAAAGTGGGAACAAATCCATATTTTCAGAGTTTACATTCTAGTGGACTAATCATTTATTAACTGATTACTATATGGTAAACATGGTCTTAAGAATTTTACTTACATTAAGTTATTTGAGATTTGTAACAATCCTTTGGGATAGGTATCATCATTATTCATATTTTCTACATAAAGGAAACTAAGGCAAAGGGAAGTTAAAAACTTGCCCATACGGACATAAGTTATTACTGGTAGAGCCAGGATTTGGACTCAAGAGATTTCATGACTTTAACCTCTGTGCTGTATTGTTTCTCCTCAGTATTCCCATGTTTCATTTACTTTTTTTCTAGGCACAAATAATTGCACGTGTGTTCTAAAGTCTTAAATAACTGAGCTCCATTCTCTCACTTTTTCTGGTAGCGGGGGCAGTTGAAAGAGGAAGACTCATCCTAATTAGCTAAAAAAGGAGCCAAGAGGAAATTGGGTACAGGACCTAGCAAATTACTGGGCTCAGATGCCATAGCCAATAGGAAGTGTGCTCCTCCTGTTTCAACAGTCGTGAGTTGGAGGCAGGAGTGGCACAATTAGTTGCTCAAGCAGAAACCTGGACATCATCTCTGACTCTGCTCACTCTGTCACCCCCACACGTATCTGCGAGTCCTTTTGATGGATCCTCCTAAATATTTTTAGAGCACATGAGCTTATCTCCACCTCCATCGTTACTCCTCCGGCCATGCCATTGTCATCTCTGTCTGTATGATTCAGTAGCCGTGCGTAGGAGAGTCCCGCCTCCAAGCAAACTCATTAGATCTATTCTTCACACTGCAGCCAGGCGATCTAGGAGCCCACACGGATCTTGTCACCCCATACCACAAATCCTTCCGTGACTCCACACTGTCCTCAGAATGAAGTCCAAGCTCTTCGTCTGGTTTAGAGTCTTCCTTCCCAATGCAGGCTGAAGGGCAGGTGCAGGTTGTCCCCAAGAAGCAGGTGCAGGTGGAGATTACTCTGTAAGAGATTTTTTAGGGAGTCCTGTTGGATGTCACAGCTGTGAATGAAGAGGAAGGGAAGAGATTAGACTGAACAAAGGGAGAAATTAAACAGGTGTATTTTCAACAAAGGGCTCAGCTCCCTTTGAGTCCCCATCTGAAAATGGGATTAACCCATCAGAATTTCCCAAGTTAGGGTCAAAGGGCTGGGTCTTTTTACCCCAGTATTGATCACCCTTTGGATGTGGATTGCCACAGGAGGGGCTATGAGCACGGGCAAGGCCATGCATCCGTTCCACAGCCTCTTAAACTAACTCCAAGCCCTTTAAAGAACAGCAACCTAAACTCGGCACTTTCAAGCAACACTCCCTGAGTACTCGGGACCTTTCACCTAATTTCCCCAGTCAGGATTGAGTGAGGTTGACTGTGCCCAGCCCATCCTCTCACTCAACTGCGTTTTACGTGCTAGACTGGACTTGTGGCTTCCTTTCAAGTTTGTAACTTCCAGATGTTTGGATCTCCTGAACCCTATTGGGGTTTTCCTTCCCTGGATCCCCTCTGACCTCACTTCCAGCAGATACCATTTTTAGGAAACTCCCCAGGAACTCAGTCAGTATCTAAATTCTAGTCACATCCCCTCTCTTCTCTGCTGGTCAAATTCTGACTTCCTCTGGTGGAAAAATGACTCCTACATTAACCCTTACTGATCTCACATTGATACAGAAATATTATAGTAAAATTCTATATTATGAGTCCTCAAGCTTTGTCCTTGTTGTTTAAAGCCAACTTTTTATTCTATTCCTTCTTCAGCCTCAATCTTACGAAGTTGCAAGTTATAACTTTCAAGATTACTAACTCTGTGATAGATTTACAAGATTCTACTACAAAACTCAAATCCAAGTAATTCACCTCTCTGGCTCTGGCATTTGTGTATGTGTGTGTGTCTGTGGGTGTGTAAAGCTCTTCCTGCATTTGTTTGTTTGTTTGTTTGAAGCAGGGTCTCACTATGTAACCCACACTGGCTTCGAACTTGTGGAGATCCTCTTGCTTCAGCCTCCCAAGTGCTAGGATGACAGGCGTGTACCAAGATGCCCGGCTTCCTGCTTTTGGATTATGGCAAGAATAGTGTCAGCTAAGGGAAAAGAAAAAAAGCAAATTGTTTAAATTAAAAATTTACCCTGCATCTAAGTCCTTGTCTTAATCCTCCTTTCAAGGACACTCAATGGAGGAAAATGCATTCTTCAACGATCCCTGAGCTTTTCTCAATGTGTTGCCTGTCTGTGCTCAGCAACAGGCTTGTGATCTTCCACGTGGCGGACTCTACTACCTATGTGTCTCTTTAGATAGAGAATACAGGGTTCCTTCTTGGAAATTACACTCGAGGGCAGGGGATTTAGCTCAGTGGTCCTGCTGCTATCAGCACGAGGCCCTCAGGGTAAGGGACCCTTTTCTCAAGGGCAGAAAACACTTTGGAAATTGGGTAATTTGCTACCATTCAGAGGTCAGTCTATAACTTTTTTTTTTTTGTACCGGGGATGGAACTCGGCTCCATTGTGCTTGCGAGGCAGGCGGCAGAACCACTGAGGTAAATCCCCCACCCTCAGCCTGTAACTTTTAATGAAATATGACTAATGGTTCAAGGATCATGCAGGGGCTGTGTAATGCTGAAAACAACTTATAACCAGCACACCAGCCCAAATCTGTTCTGAAGCTTCTGTTGGGCCAGCTCCTTGCTTTGCTCATGTCTCCAGGGCTGCGTAGTTCATGATCCTAGCCCTGAAATCACTCCTTGGTACTGAGCCCTGCCTCAGAGTTGAGGCCAGATTGTTTTGTAGACTCAGAATGATAGGTGATTTCCCGCCCTGCTTTATTCTAAAAAATGTGTAATTTCTCCACGTCTTTCTCCCTCCCCCTCCCCAGTACTAGGGATCAGACCTAAGGCCTCGCACATGCCAGTCAAGCACTCTTACCACTGAGCTACAACCCTCGCGGTGTGCTTTCTGATTTTCAATAAAGAGGAAATAAAATATTTTTTTAAAGATAATTGTCAGTGGATTACCTTTAGGGAAACTAACTCATGGGCATGTGATCTAGTTCTTTGGAGACAATAAGAACACACACATACTTTGCCCAGAGTCCCTACATTTTTCTAAATCTCTCTCTCTTTTTTTTAAGGTCACATTTGGGACTTTAGTGTCCAGTTTAGGTTCCGTCTGGTACTGTAGTCTGCTCGTTCCAGCACTTGGGTCATCTCTGAGCCCGTGTAACACTTAGCTTGTTTCCTTTT